AAGACATGAGAACATTATCGTTCCACTTATGAAAGAAGGGATGAAAATGGACCTACAAATAAGGAAGATCTATTTCAAGTGTCCTTCTGCGGAAGTGTGTGGCCTCCCTTTAAGAGAGATATTGATAGTAAAAACTGCAGGTCCCAAACAAATGCTCTCCTTAGGACTAAAGAAAGGGAACTAATTTGTGTGTTTGACTATTTCAATAGCTACCTGGATAATATGTTTACACTTCAAGGGAAATGCAGTCATTACAATTTAAACATATTAAAATACAGGCCAATAATAAGGAAGACAGAGCATTGTCATGAGGAAATCATAGTGTGAGATTATAATGCAGTCTCCACGTACATAGAACAGTTGCTCCATGGGGGCAAGTGCAAGCAATGTGATTTCCTAGGATCACAGGCTAGAGAAGTCATTGGCTATTGTCCATACTGCATATTCATGAACTTTGTTCTCAAGGAAATAATTCCACTCAGTGAAGTCTGGGATTATTCACAACCCTATTGTAAACTCCAAGTCAATACCATATTTTTCCTAACAGAAGTTGCCACACTGCTGTGATGAGTGGGGTGAGGCTGTACTGTGGTCAGGCTCTCATTTCTAAAACAGAGAGACTGCTGAAAAGCTCCAAGTCACCATCATAAATATCAGCTAGCAACATGGTTTCCTGTTAGAGTCACAATTCATTTTTCATTCTCTCCGTGTTGAGCAATGAGCTGTGAATCACAACAATGGTATTATTAGGGCAAATCTCAACTTTTCTGGATTTCAGTCTCTTCCATTGTAGATAAGGGGCTGACCTTGGTACCAAGTCCCTTCTAGCATGAGTCTGTGATTTGGAATATTTCCTAGAAAGGAGGCTCTGACCTTTTCTCCAATGTCTACACTCGGTGTTATTTAGGCAAAGCACAGATGAACTATGACACAGCTTGTTGCTACACCCCAAGCACACCGTGAACACCATGTCAGGGCGTGATATCTGGAATCAGATTAGGAGACAGACTTCCAGCCCTGGCTCTGTCTTGGTGGAAGGGTAAGACCTGGGACACGTGACCAATTCCCAGAAATTTAGGTGTATTCATTTCTAAGACTGGGAGAGGGGGGTGTGACTGCCATTGTAAACTATGTTCCCTGAAACTTTCAGAAACTTCTGGCAAAAAGGAGGCTGGTAGAAAAGTGGATTCTGCTCAACCCATAGCAACTGGAGTGGCTGAACTTCTGTGCCACATATTGGGATTGTGTATAAGAACTTGGCTTTACAGTGCGGCAGTGCTACAAATACACCTTTGAAAACCACTGGCTGGGTGACTCAGTTTGGACATTTGATGATCCCATTCCCTGAAAGCTATCTTGTCTTGACAGTGGGTCTTCAAAAAAAGTTAGTTAATTTTCCAATAAAAATTATAAAACTGAGGACAATGGACCACAGAAAGTTTATGTAAAGTATTAAAGTCACAAAGTTAAGCATGAATCAGTGTGATAAAAGGATTCCATTGCCCCTCTTTGCCATCTTTCATCCAATTTACTGATGCTGGTTTTTCAGCTTTCACATTGGTTGTTTATTCTGATCACACAAAGAGGGAATCCAGATAAGTCTACAGAAACATTACTTTTTTATTTTTATTTATTTATTTTTGCCTAGAAAGAGATTCTATTACTCTAAAATGTCCAGAGAGGAGAATGACCTGTGATGGAAAGCAGGGTCTCCAAATATTGCACAGTAACAATTTCTAGATGTTCTAAAGATTATAAACATAAAATCATTAATTTTACTGCAAAAAGCTTTCTTCACTTCCCAATTAATATGACACAGAGTGACTTGAATCAAAGTAGATGTTATGGGTTAAATTGTGTCCTCCCCCACAGATGCTGAAGTTCTAGCCCTTAGTGTCTGTGAATATGAACTTATTTGAAAATAGGGTCCTCACAGATGTAGTCAAGTTAGTATGCAGTCATGAGAGGAGGCCCTAATCCAGTATGACTGGCGTTCTTATCAGAAGGGGTATTTTGGACACAGAGAGACCCACCAGAGGGGAGACAGCGTGTGGACACAGAGGATGAGAGGAGGCCCTAATCCAGTATGACTGGCGTCCTTATCAGAAGGGACATTTTGGACACAGAGAGACCCACCCAGAGGGGAAACAGCGTGTGGACATAGAGAGAATGTTGTGTACATGCTGAGGAAAGCCTGAAGTTGCCAGAAGCTAAGGGAAAGGAAGATGGAGCCTTTCTCACAGGCCTCAGAAGGAAGCAACTGTGACAACACCTTGATTTTGGACTTGTACTCTCCTGAATAGTGAGGGTACAAGCAGAAGTTCACTTTCTGCTATTTAAGTCATCCAGTTTGTGGTAGTCTGTTATGGCAGCCCTAGGAAACCAGTATAATTAGTTGATAATTCAGAATATGAAAATTCTGCACAGTGGTATCATACCTTACAACTCTTGAACGAGGTAATCCACCCACGTAAATTGGATCCTTATCAAGACGATTGAGGTCAGAAGATGCTCCTGGGGTTTCCCCTTGCTTGGTTTCCTTATAACTGGTGTTATACGCATCGACAACTGCTAGGAGTCCTAAAGGGGATTGAAAGGAATCAATAAGGAATGAAAGTCACTTCCTACACTAAAGTAAAACACTAACTTCTGCTAACAAAGGTCATTTACAAAGGCATGTTCTTTTACATTCTGCCATTTTGACCAGCAAATGTTCTTGCCTATTAACTGAAAATCCTCTGTGCAGGTCAATAAATCCAGAAAGAAAATAGAATTGATTTGATTCTTGATTCTCAATTGAGCCTTTAATGTTAAATAATACATTTGGAAAGCAATCTATGAATTTAATATTCCTCTAGAAAAAGATGAATCCTGAGGCTTAGTATCTCAATGACTTTTTATTAGAATATCATTTAAGAATACCCAGAAAGCTAAAGTAAGTAAAGACCAGATTTTGGAAATATTTCTTTTCCTATGAGGCCAACCAACATCCCATCCACCCAGCTGTGCACATACCTTGCTTCCGGTTCCGCTGGAAGGCGATTTTGTACCAGCTCCCATTGTTATAACGTCGGTCTGTTATGAGGGCAAGAGGCCCTGAGCCCAGGTCAACTGTAACTTTCACTCGGCCATGGACCAGCTCGATGGATAAAAAGTCTTTCTGTAAAAAAGAAAAGCAGTAACCCACGGCTGCATCATTATCACAGGATTTCCTTGTCCTTCAAGTCAGGGATGACAGAAACCTTCTGAAGACAAACTGAGAAAGCTGGACCTGGCCCAACAGCCAGAGGCCTATGCTACGAAACGCAGTGTCCACAGAGGCTTTCTGAAATGCTACATGTATATGAGGTAAACACATTATCAAAACCTACAATTCAGTAAGAGAAGGAGGATCTCTCTGTATCTGTTTCACTGAGACTGAAAAAGGTCTAGTTCTTAAAATAAAACTAGATGTTTGGGAGAAATCACCAGTACATAAGATAAAAAATGGGAATACGAAAATCCAGTGAATGGATTTCAAATAAGGCCACAGTGGTCAGAGTGAACATAGAACAAGACATATTATTTAAGATCAAAATTTAACAAATGTTCAGTTGGCATCTATAATGATGGGAGAGCTATTTTCTACTTGGTGCTCTTCCAAAGCTTCTTCTGTGCTGATATAATAAATTATTTAAAATAGGGACATAATATGACATGTATCAGTAAATAGATTAGTAAATGCTCATAAAATAGTCATTAAACATAAATATCCTCACGGCAATCTAACTGTATATACACAGTGGGGCCAACTGCCCCACAGAGAGTCTTACGGTGCCATTTGAAGCGAGGTAGAGGAGAAGCCCGTTCGTTGAAAAGGTACTAAAAAGCATAATAATGTGCGTCACAGTAGCCCGCAGCGTCTTCTCCACGACGGAATACCCACTCCCATCAAAGTGGAAGGACGCGTCTTCATTCTCGGGGCTGCAAAGCGGAGCAGTGAAATACAATCCATCCGCAGGAAGGAGGTTCAAGAGCACAGATGTCACAGTTCCCCAGTTCTCCCTCATGAAATCATGGCAGAGCTCTCATTTCCATAAGTGGATGACAGTGTAAATTATAATATCTTAAAATATGCTTGCCATGGGATTATGCAAGACAAATGCTTAATTGCTTTATAAGAAAAAGAAAGTTAATATAGGCAGTATTCTCTGTTGTAAAAAAAAAAAATTCTCCAAGGGATGGATAAGTGCTGTAAATATTTCTACTTATCAACTAGATTTCTATTTGTTTTACTTTCCTTTAATGAAACTATTCTTTGTCAATTCTAGTGCTTTCAGGAGAATTTTTAAACTGGCATTTAACTAATACATCAGTGAAACTAGAATTACAATGGAAAATAAATACGTACCATTATACCAGAAAGACCATTACAAAAAATAGACAAAGAAAATCTCCAAATTCTGAAGGATGAGCTTACAACAGAATTATATAAAATAGACCACACCATTCTTTATTAAATGTTATTTTTTTAAATTGGTCTTAGAGAGCGAGGAAGTGAGGAAGAGAGAGAGAGACACACACAATGATCAGTTGCCTCCTGCACGTGCCCTGACTGGGGAGTGAATCTGCAACCTGGACATGTACCCTGACTGGGAATCGAACCCACCAACTTTTGGTGTAGGGGACTAAGCTCCAACCAATTGAGCCACATTGGCCAGGGCAGGGCCACAGCCATTTTCAGATCATTGTGGTTTCTGGTCCTCCCCCTGCCTCAAAAGGCTGACTTGATACAATATAAAAATAACCCCAAACCATTAAATTACAAAGTAATTTCATCTGGAACACATCATTGTTGTGTTTTAAATACTTATTTGGAATCTCATGGGACATGAGAGTGAAACTTGAATGAGGGTGTTTGTTTTTTTAATATGAATTTGAATTTTTATCAGTTGAAGGTATGAATAATCCAACTCAGTGCCAACTCATCTTCAAGCAGGACATAATAACCAAACAGTCACATTATTTCCATTAACAAAATAAAATGAATGCAAACAAAACAAGAAATAGCAGTGCTTTGTGAAAGCTGCGGTTTTATTTATTGCTTCCTGCAGTCTAACTTTTCCTAAAAAAAAAAATCTGTTTTGTTCTTTTAGGAAATATACTTTCAAGGAAATATGCTCTGCATAAATTCTTAAACTGTGGCTTCATTCTCTATTCTTTAATTCTTAAACCTGTGGCTTCCTAGAAGCATGTTCCGTTGCTCTACTTCTTGGATGACCATAGCTCGTGTGGCTAAGGACACAGACTCTAGAATCAGACTGCTGGGGTTCAAATCCCAGTTCCCCAACTTACTACCTGTGTGAACTCAGAAAAGTTACCTAACCTCTCCGTGCCTCATCCCCTTTATCTGTACACTAGGGATAATGATAGAACCTCTCTGGGAGAGCTGTACATGATTTAAAACATGCAAAGTTCTGGACATAATGCCTGGCACACAGCAAATATTCGCTCCATTTTAGTTCTAATGATTCTGCTGTGATCGGGGCTCCTCCATGGGTCCCTATGTGCCCTATTAATAGCCGAGCTTCAAAGATTAAGCACCTTGCCCAGAGGCACACTCAAGTGCCTATATCAGCACCTGTCAAAGTGTGTTCTGTGTAACATAAGCACCTACAGAACGCTCCTTTTAAAAAAGAATTTGGGGTCAAATGAGTCCGTGAAATGCTGCCGCTCTAGCCTCTCCCAGGACAGGGTTACAGTGCCTAGCCTCACAGTAAAGCAACATGCTTAATTTTTTAACTCAGTGTTTCCCAAACATGTATGATCAGGGCACACTCTCCACTGCCACTTAAAAAAATGAATATCTACTAAATCCTACCAAATTAATATTCTTTTAAAAACATATTTCTGGAAATATTAGTTAATATAATTCAAGAATCGTCAGCTCATTTGCTCAGTACCCATAAAAAGTATGTCTAATATTTTTAACCTGACAATAAATGTGTGAGAAACCAAGGTTTGTGATTGGCAAATATCATCAAAGTGATGTTGCCTTATGAAATAGCGACACCTGCTGTTGAACTTTGCCTTTGTTTGATCGAGCTCAGTCCATTCGGCCTTAAGGCTCAGCTGGGTAGCAGCCGTCCCTCGACCCAAAAAAGCCAGTTCCAGGATTGACAGAGAGAGGATGGTAGCACCTGTTAATCCTTCCTGTCAGTCGAACCTTCATGGTCCCGTCAGTGGTCGGGGGGTGGGGGATGGGAGGCTGGAAGTCTGCTGGGAGGGCAGTTCTCAAGGAGAACAAAACTTGAGGCCACCCAGAAAATTGACATCCTCATTCCAAAAAAGAGAAGAGCCAGCAATCATCAAATTCACTTATTGCTGCAGCTTGAGGTCAGTGGTTTTAAAATAACCCTGAAAATAACTGATGAGAATTGGGGATATTGTAACAGCTCAAGCAGGGGGACATATTTCATATTAGAAATATTCAATTTCTGTTAAGATTTTCCTTTCCACAAGTAAGATTAATGATCTGGGGTCAGTGTAGGGGACAGAGTCCAGGGGTTAGAGCATCTGTCATGTTAGAATTACTAAATTGCTGGGAAGATTTCCTTCCATGCTAGAGAAATAGCATGAGGAAAAAGTGATGGATGATATTAAAAAAAAAAAAAAAAGCGCTGGCTGATGTGGCTCAGTTGGATGAGCATCCTCCCATGCACCAGAGGTTGTAGGTTCAATTCCCAGTCAATTCCTGGTGGGGGCACATGCCTGGGTTGCAGGCTTGATCCCCAGTACGAGGCATGCAGGGGGTAGCCCATTGGTGTTTCTCTCCCTCTCCCTCCCTCTCTCTCTAAAATCAATAAAAACATTTTTTTTTAAAAAAAAAGTGATGGAAAAGGGAGCTTCCTTGTGTGTGCTCATACTCCTGAAGTTCAAGAGCAGGTGTCATTACCTCACAAGGTAATATCACTTTGATGGTATTTGCCAATTACAAAACCTTAGTCTCTCACACATTTATTGTCAGGAAAGTAACCCTGGGACATTTACCTGGAAATCAATGGGCTGTCACTGCAGGAAGATCAGAGATGAACATTGGTGAACATTCAAATTTATCAAGTATTTTCATATGCATCATGTTATATATTCATCACCATAGTTCTGGGAGATAGGTAAAGTAAGTATGATTACTGTTTTCCTGTTCTGGAAGAAGAAACTAAACCTCTCTCCTTGAGGGGTAGTGACTTATATCTTAGGCCACTGAGAGATTTGGTAGGAGAGCTGGGCCAGGAGCCTGAGTAATTATGATGCTAAACCCAATACTTTTTTTATTCCTAAGGCTCTTATAATCATGCTTTTGGTCATAACTTTTTGAGCAACTTAAGGAAGGGGTATTAGCAATTAAAAGGCTTAAACTACAAAATCCCAAGCTAGGAGAAAGCAGACCTGACAATAACAAAGTGAAAACTCTCCCACAGAAGTCTAAAGGTGAGTTGCTTCTAACTGATCTTGTCCCCACTCACTGCTAGGTATCCATCTGGACAGAGCAGCCCATTAGGTGGGAGATATTATATCTGATGTTACATTTCTTTAATGGAAAAGGCAATCTATTGCCTTATTTGTTAAAGTGCTATAAAATAGGTCTTCCATACTTACAGGGCTGTAGTTATTTTTTTAGAAAGTAATAGAGGGGGTGTTGAGATTGGTGAGGTTAAGTTATTAAATGCCCTCTATTATATCAATACATGCCAAAAGATTTTAGATAGTTGTTCTCCATTTGCAAGTGCATTTATTTCTAGAATTATAGAGTTTAGGAATAAAATTATTTATAAAAATTGACAGCACACACACAAAAATCTCATCCTTGGAAGTATTTTCAAAATGAAAATGTATAGTGGTTTATCCAAAGCTTACTGTGGCTCGTTGAGACAGAAGGTGGTTTGAGAAGATGTCTGTGTTTCTTGATTTTATGGTCCATGATCAAAGCATACAGTATAAGACACAGCAATAAGAGTCCTTTGTAAGTGTTAACAATGATACCCATGCTTCCATTAGTAAATCTACACCTTTTCCTTTGCAATAAGAAGACTGACATCATAAACTCTATCCATCCTTGATATACAGGTAAGTTCTTTAAGCAGTTCTCAGATGTTAATACACTAACTAACATACAATGTTTAAATCATGGGGAATATTACCTTCCAAAGCAGCCATGGCACTTGCCCTCCCTTTCAACATAGTTCCATAGGCCGATGGACTGTCCATTCAAGAAGGCTTCTCCCATGCAGCCTTTGAAATGAGTAACCTTCACAGCGGGAGACTTCTAAGGTAGATGAACACACAAACACAGCCCACATACATTTGGTGAAAAAGAATAAATTCTCTAAATGAATGAAACGCCTCCCTGAAAGCTTATATCTAACAGATCCAAATGTTGAGAAAACATCAAAAAAAAAAAAAAAAGCCAGTTTGTAATCACTGGATTTCCTTCCAATGATGAAGTGGAACACTAGAATGAGTGACAACTGGATGGATCTTAAAAGATCATCTCAGTTAGTAGGGTCGCTGCAGAGAAACCTCTTTTATAGTGAGAAACAGACCCAGAGAATGTGTGGTCAGTGGTGAGGGGCTGGCTGGCACAGAGACCATCCTCTCATGTGAGAGCGCGCACTAAATCCACACGACTCACCATTGCTCGGTGAGAGGATAACTGGTGTAATAAAATAAGGACAACGCGCTCTTTCACTAAACACTAATTAGTACGAGTCTACCACTAGAGTTAGAACAGAGATAAAGGAACTTTACAGAAATTAACGTGAACTACTGAATGTCTTGTTTCATCATTGGAAGAGAAACGCAAATAGCGAAATGAACCTCTGACTTCTTTTCCATTTGTACTATTTATTAAGTATGATCCTTTACCCTACAAAACCAACCCAACTCTGCAGATGAACCGTCATTAAGCAAAATAAGAGAAGCAAGATCTCTTCATCTGAATATTGATATATTCAACAATTTAATTATATTAATTTTTATTGAAATAAGTTTGACTTATAACATTGTATAAATTTATGTATTAAATTTATATATGGGTAACATCAGCCAATCCGTTGTGTGCAGATGAGTGTTCATAGTGTTACCTTGACTTGTCCTCCGAGCCCTCCAACAAACATCCGTGTTGAGTTGTTTATATCCAGAACGTTAGCTGCTCCTAGGGATTTACTTGTTTTTGGTGGTGGCTTTTGAGTTGTGCTCATTTCCTGTACAGTCAATGAACCAATGTTTCCAAACCTAAGGGTCACAAAGAATGGCAACAAGAACCAAATTGCAGTCAGCCCACATATGTACATACATGTTTCAAACCCAGGCTCCATCTGCTTCTCCCCATGTCCACTACAACAGCCCCCAGCTGGTCTCCCCGCTTCTAGACTTTTCCACCCCCCACCCCTACTTTCCTCTCCAAAATCTGGTACAGCAGTCTTTTACCATGTAGAACAGTCATAGATAATGGGTTAAGCTATATTTGAAATTGTTTACTGCCTTTAATATGACTTCTTTTTATTGATAACAAAGCAAAATGACAAAAATTCCTAACTACACACCATCAATAACAAACCATAATGTTACCGAAAAGTAAAAAAAAAAAGATATACTTAAAGCTGCTTAAGAGTTACCTTTGGAGAGAGGCTTGATAAGGAAGAAATTTGCTTGTGTTTGTTAAGAAAACCCATTCCCCACTTGTATCCTATCCTCTGGCCTCTTCTGCTTGCATCCCACTGCCAGCCACAGGGGATTCCTACCAGGCTGCCTCTACTACCATGTCCTGGGCAGTAAACATTTTACTGGGCTGGCTGCCTCAGACACACCTACCATTCTAAAGGTAACATAAGTTTTAACTTTTTTCTTCTTTTATTGTTGGTTTGGGTAACAATGTTTATTTCTTCTGTAATAAGAAAAAAAAGCCTATTTCTAAGGGTTCTTTCACTATAATCTAACTTCCTAGAAGTTTCAGACTATTACATGATGTGGAAAACATCATATGCAGCTTTAGATAGTTTAGAAAGAGAGACGTTGGAAGAGAACGGTCTCCATTACCTGGTTACGTAGATACTGTGCCATTTGTTGTCATCAATTGGGAAGTCTGGGAATTCCAACCGTGCTGCCCCGGAGCCCATGTCCCAGAGGAAGGCCACTTTCCCTCGCCGCATCTCCACTGCCAGGAAGTCAGGCTGGGTGCAGGGGCATGAGTTGGCATGAGTATACAGGCCAGACTGCTTGCATGACTATTAAAACACTTTAAAGAATGAGTCCTGCCCCACTGGGGTGGCTCGGTGGTTGCGTGTCAACCCATGAACCAGGAGGTCATGGTTCACTTCCTGGTCAGGGCCCATGCCTGGGTTTCCGGCTTGATCCCCAGTAGAGGGCGTGCAAGAGGCAGCCAATCAATTCTCTCTCATCATTGATGTTTCTATCTCTCTCTCCTTATCCCTTTCTCTCTGAAATCAATAAAAATATATTTTGAAAAATAAAGTATGAGTTCTTACAGCATTTTTTCTACTCATTAAAAAAACAAAATAACATCTTGTTTTGTTTTTAATTCCCACCCTCACCTTCCAGGAGCTGAAGCAGAACTCAGAGCACTGAGGGTGGTGGCCACCGGATCCATTAGCACCCCACCACCCTGCACTGCATGGCCCTCCACAATGCCTCCCATAAAATTCCCCAGGAAGACTCGTGTGTGTGTGTGTGTGTGTGTGTGTGTGTGTGTGTGATCACTAGTAGTCTCCAGGGAGCGTAAAGGATGATATCTTGTGTATCTGCCCAGTCTGAGAAGGGAATAAATGAATGTGAAATACGCAGTAAGAGCCATGAAATCCCACATGAGGAGTTGCACGTGTTTTGCACCCTAGCTCCTAAAAAGACATTTCCGGTAATATCTGGGCTTGCCAATATTTTCTGCCCTAACACAGACAAGGCTTCTGACCCATTTCCACCACACAGCCAGTTATCAATGGTCTTCATAAGGGGACTTGCCCTCTGGGGACCACAGGAATCTCATTGGATGGAAGAGCCTGGGTGAAGCATGACAGTGGTGACAGGCCTTAGGGCGCAGGCTTCCACTCCGGGTAACACTCCCCAAGGTCGACCTTATAGACCCAATGCTAAACTCAGTGGCTGCAGAGGTCACAGAAGGCATTACAAAAAGTTCATCTAAGTCACAGCTTGTGATTAAGATTGCAGATGGAGACACTTTTCCTTCCTCAAAGTCACGTTCCCTCTCACAGATACTGAATTATGTAATTTATTTTTAATCTAATGCTACTGGTTTAGCAAAAGGTTAGTTCCCTTAGAACAGTGGTCGGCAAACCGTGGCTCCCGAGCCACATGCGGCTCTTTGGCCCCTTGAGTGTGGCTTTTCCACAAAATAGCACGTGCGGGCACACACGTACAGTGCGATTGAAACTTCGTGGCCCATGCGCATAAGTCGGTTTTCGGCCTGGGCGAGTCTATTTTGAAGAAGTGGCGTTAGAAGAAGTGGGGGGTGTCGGTTGGTTGGGCGATGGGAGACGTGGCGCAGGCGGGCGGGATACGCAGCACGGGGGAGGTACATTGTTTTAAGGAATGTTCCCTGAGGTCGACCCCTTCCAACTCTCCCATCCATACTTGTCTATCTGAAACAAGTATACAAGACAAGTGTGGATGGGAGAGTTGGAAGGGGTCAACCTCAGCGAATGTACCTCAATCAGATTGAGGATGTTTTTAGCAAAGGCCATCTTAGGAGTATCCTAATTAAGTTAATAACAATGTACCTACCTATGTAGTTTAAGTTTAAAAAATTTGGCTCTCAAAAGAAATTTCAATCGTCGTACTGTTGATATTTGGCTCTGTTGACTAATGAGTTTGCCGACCACTGCCTTAGAAGAATTAGTGATTTCACCAAGACCCTGTTGTTTTTTCATCAAAAAAAGTGTTAATTCAGAAAACATAGGCATTCATAGGAGACTCGTTGTTGCTTTCTTTGAGTCCATACTCACGCTGGTGCTGCTGCCGAGGTAGAAGAGAAGGTTATCGGGTTCGCTCGTCTTAACATTTAGTGTTAAGGTGTTATAGTTGGTTGAAGAGATCGGAGGCTGGTAGGCCCGGATACAATCTCTGTCTGCAGACACAGCAACTTTAATCTGCAGAAGGAGAAAAAGTGCCCAGTCATTCAATGACACATCACATGGGCCGTGCGCCAGGAGTTCAGACGTGCTATTCCCAGGCAGACTGTCACTGTCAGGCAGGTGCCTCTCCTGAAAATACATAATGCTTCAGAAGTGAGAAGTCAGGTGGCGGTGAAGAGAAGTTTATCTGGTAAAGTATTTAAATATGAAAAAGTCAGTCATAGAGTTTTAAAAGAGTGTGTTATGTAGAAAATCAACTCTTTCATATGAGATTTAATTCCTTAAAGACAAGGAACTTGCCCTGACCGGTTTGCCTCAGCAGAGAGAGCGTTGGCCTGCAGACTGAAGGGTCCCGGGTTCGATCCTGGTCAAGGGCATGTACCTTGGTTGTGGACACATCCCCGGTGGGGGGTGTGCAGGAGGCAGCTGATCGATGTTTCTCTCTCATTGATGCTTCTAACTCTCTATCCTTTCCCTTCCTCTCTGTAAAAATTCAATAAAATACATTAAAAAAAAAAAAGACAAGGAGCTTATCCAAGTCATCTTGGAATCTTTAGTCTTGCCACAGAGAGCTTATTTGATGATCACTTGTCGAATAAATGGAGGGTTTATCTACTTAGTCTTTCAGCAAATATTTATAGAGCAAATATTAAACATATTTCTCTAAGTAATTGTTTGCATATATAGCATTTATTAACCGAAGTCTGTATTAACCAGAGCATTTGGAGCCATCTGCTGGGCTCACATTTATTTGGTGACTGTAACTAAAACAGGTGGAAGTCAGAGCTCATGTAAACCAACAGCCCTTTCCAACAGTGAGGTCATTTGTGGGGAGAGGGGTGTCAAAGGGCTGGGAACTCCTGTATCTTGGCTAGAAAACGTAGGTGGATAAGCATGTGACCAGAGGTCCCCAGCAGTGTGACAATTGATAGTCTCTCAAAGATCTTATTTCCCTGAAACGCCTCCCCTCAGGAGCACAGCAATGCCACATGCTATGGATGGGTGGCTGGACAACATCTTCTCAGTGTGTGCTTCTCTGTGTGTCAAGTGTCTTGTAGATGTAGTGACCTGGATGTGTGCAGCATTTGTTCATATGCAAATCGTTAGGTCAGGCTCCTAGAGGATGGGCCCGTACTGCACAAACATTCCGAAGAATACTCAGATTATTAAAACCACCTTGGTAAAATGATGGAAATAACGCCATATGCCACCGATGAAATGGAGAGTGATGTTAACCCTTAGGCAACCATTAGCTAATAGTTATGAATCTACAAATCTAAGCTACAATTACAAATCTCCATAAAGACATGGAGATCTCCTTGCTGGCAATAGATTGAAACATGTATGAAAACAGAAATTAAAAAAAATGAGACTAATATACTTAAGTAAATACACCTAAGACACTGCTGTGTGGAATCTGGTATTATTCAGAGCTGTCGGCAGACATTCCAGGGACCCGGTGAGGCAGAAAGCCATTTCTACAGGAATTCTCTGGAACTTGGAGTTACCGAGAGTCTCAGCTAGGTGGGTACTGGGTGTCAGTGGTAGCATCAGGGCCCCACACTCACCGAAGCTGCTTGTTTCCGGGCCTGGCTGATCAGCAGTTTAATTTCTGACAGGTTTCTGCTCAGGTTCTCTTCTAATCTCTTCAAAGGCTTCAACCGATCAAATAAAAGGTTGGCTTGTGTTTCCACATCTTTAACTTTTTTCCCAGCTAACAGACCTAACAAATACAAGGTAGCAAGAAAGTTGGGGTTGGGGTGACAGACATAGAGAAATGAACTGGTCATTACTAATGCACGGGATGAAACAGAATATCTTAATTATCAAATCCTTGACATTTTGGTACATATGTAAAAAATGCACCAGCTCCGTGCATTACCGTAGGCCCTTCTCTTTCTTTATAAATGGAAATCCAGATGTTAGTGCATTTTCATTTTTTTCATTTTTTTTTTAGGAATGCTGTTTGTGAACAAGGCACCATTGTGCCCGTGGCAAGCTCAAAATTGCACAATGCAGACTTTCCTGATGGGAAGGGAGACCGAGACATACTGGTCATTGAGGAGTCCCGTAGAAGTTCGTTTGCTTCTTGTAAGGTGGCATTGACCTTGGACAGGTCTGTCGATGTGTTCAGCAGCTTCTGACTCAGTCCCACCACATTCTTCAGTGTGCTCGCAGCACTCTGATTGGCAGATGTGGCCAGCTCTTGGATTTTGGTTCCTTTGTCTCTGACACCTGAAATAAATTCATACGCAAGCATGCACACCATAAAACGGGGGGTTTTGTGTTTAATGGCAATATTAAGGTTGCTTGTCATATGTGCTACTGCTGCCTTTTAGGGCTAAATGAAATAATTTTGGTAAAAGTTCTCTGTATTGAAATGTGATTTCAATACACATGAGATAACAAAAGCAGCTAATGGCCATGCTCAGGCTCTCACTTATTAAGAAACTAAGCTGCTTTATTCGGTCTCTTTTCTATTATCCCCTTCTCATATCCATTAAATACCTCTTCAAATCATCCCATGTCTGGGTAAGAAGGTTTGGGGATTTAAATGTGTAGGTGGGATGAATGTGTCTCAGGCTAAAGGAAGTGGTATTTTTTCACAACATCAACTGGCTGCTAGATATAACAGCAGAATACAGACTAAATGGGCACTTCAGATAAACTGGAATTTCATTTTTCTAGAAAAATCTGGGTGATAATTATTTTTAAAAGGCACTAGTATTCATTTTAAAAGGGTAAATCACAACCACAAATGGGACAAACATTAACACTAGGAGAAGCTGGATGAGGACTATACTGGTATTCTTTCTACAACTTTCCTGCAAATTTGCAATTGCTTCCAAACAAAAAGCTATTTTAAAGTATTTAATCAACAAATACCATGTGCCTTCATAAAGAGAGAGAGAGAAACATCCACATCAGAAAATGCCCGATTGATTTAAGGTAAGAAATTCAGAGTGCCCAAGCCCCAGCTCCCCAAGGTGATTTGTGTGCTTATAAAGTGAACCAGCAGATGGAAATTTAGAGATATTTGGGCAACTTGTAAGACTTAAAAAAAAAAAACTTATTAAGAAAAAAAGAGAAGGTTGAGGGAATGTAAATAGTGTACTACAGCACAATTAATTTGTATTACACTTTGTAAAAGTTACCTTATTTTAAATTTTAATGAATGCTGCACTTATAAACTGTCAATATTAAAGTGATCTATTTTAGAATGCTACATTGCCTCATGAAGAAGATTTACCAAGCAAGACTTTTTAAATTTCTTACATTTATATGAAAGCAGGGAAATTCCTGCTCCTTTACGTGCTGACTTCTTTGACTGACACTTTTTCAGTTACGGCACGTGACAACTGCATTGTAAAAGCCAGCAATCGATATGGTAGCATAAAATCTCTTGTGCTTTTGTTTTTGAGTATAATTCTGGCATTTCAGTTCAAGTATTCTGAACTTGTTAAAAAATAGTGATCTTCACTTCCAAATCATATTCCTCTGCAAGTAAAAACTATCAGTCCTGGGCTCATTTCCAGCAAGGGCTCTTCATCAAACCGGAGGCAGAACCTCCTCATATTCACGTGTAATGGCTTTGAAATGAGAAGACATTAATTAAATCAAGAACCCCCTTTCCACTTACCTTCAGGAATTGCTCTAAGTATTAAGAGTGATTCATTGGTCTGCCTAGTAATCTTATCAGCATTTTCTTGAAATGTCTTTGCCGTATTTTTCAATTCTCTCAGTTCCAATGTGATACCTATTTAAAGGAGGAAAGTGTTTCCTTGTAAGATGGCCTAATAAAAAGCTGCCTAGGTTTTCTTCATCACTTTGACCCTTTAGGGATTGACAGCTTTCTACCGAGACCCTCCCCCATAAAAGCTTCTCCATTAAGACTTCAAGCCCCTGATTATAGAAATTGTGATTTTTAGCTGGCTTGGTCATTTCTCCTACTTTGCTTGTTGCTCTTCTCACTAATATTTCTTCTTAAATTGCATGTCTACTTTAATTAGAGCTCACCTTGAGGTGTTTCAATCACTCATCCTTAATTGGACACATCAATTTCCTACCTACGTCTAAATTGTGGCCACCTTTCTTCCCCGGGTTGTAAAACCCCAAACTGGGCTCCTGCCTGATAATCTCCCTCCTCATCTCCCACCTGCTTCCCTGGCCAGGACCCCTCTGCTTCCTGCTTCCTTCTGACCCTCCCCCATCCCAGCAGGTGCTCGACTCAACCTCCTCCGAGTCTGATCAAAGCTGTTGGATCAAAGCTTCCCTTTTAGCATTTCTGTTCAGAATACACAATCACATTGGATTCTGAGCACATGTCAAAAAATGAATTATTGATAAAATCCTTGATGAACATGATGGTTCTGCCTAAACTTTAATTGCAGGACATTCACTATTTCATGGCCTATGAAATACCTTTAGTTGTATAGATTGAAGCCATAGCCAATCAACATTGATGCTAGAGTTGGTGTTTAATGCTTTATGATTGAGAACTGTGTACTTTCTACATGGTGAGTTGACAATAAATTCTAAACTGCATGACTCACAGAGAAACAAAAAATATGCACATATCCACACCCTAAGGTAGAGACACAGTACAGGACATGGAGGTAGTCTAAAAGGTGGGTGAGCTGTTCATAGACCACTATTTACTCTATAGTAAAAGACTTGACATTTTTTATCTATCTATATAAAAGCCTAAGCGACTGTCGCAACAGAAAAAAACTGAACAGACAACCGGAAAACCGAACAGGCTGCGTGGGGCGACCAGGCCGGCAGGGGGTTAGTGAGGGGCAACCAAACGACTGAGCAGCAGGCTGTGTGGGGCGACCAGGTCGGCAGAAGGGACAGTTGGGGTCAACCAGGCCAACTGGGGGGGGGCAGTTGGGGGGCAATCAGGCTGGCAGGCAGAGGCAGTTAAGGGTGATCAGGCCAGCCGGGGGGGGAGGTAGGG